TTAATAGATAGAGTGATTCTTAAGGAAGGTTTGTATGTATAATACATGCATATTGCACCCGTGCGAAGCCGGGGCGGGTCGCTAGTTCATAATAAAAAATAGAATAATACTGCCTCGTTGGCCAAGTGGTCGCAATTGCGACTGCCGGGCAAGGCGTCTGGAATTGTGCCCGGTATATGGCAATAGGCTCACCCCCTCACATGGGACTCATAACAAAAATATTGAAAAGTGGGTGTTGCATTGTACAGTGGCATTGTGCCGTAATGTACACCTCTGCCTACCCCTTCGGGGATAAAAGGGCGTAATGTTATGTTATGTTACCTAATCAGTTACGTACCTATTAAAAGTTGATTTGAGTACCTACTTGCCAACTAGTCAAATTCAAAATTTTTTTCGAGCTGTCAAAAACGACAGTATTATATGAATTTTGTACGACATTATAAATTGCGACGTCACGTTTTTTTAGCGGCAAACAGTGTACTTATTTCTTAATAAATATTCTGGCAATTGTTCCATAATACCAACGATTAATTAGCATTTGTTTCCGTTGATAAATTTTGATGAACGATCTGTTAATCGCTTAAAACATGACGTGAATTGCTGTTAAGAAATACTTATCTGGATTATTGACTGCAAGATATTGTGTATTTATTGTTGTTTTGTAAATGTAATTGTAGATTAATAAAATGAATAATGATGCTGATCAATAAATTCCTATATTACCTAGGTATTATAAAATATATATTATGTTGGTAGAGGATGTTGACAAAAATATCATAGGTAGATATGCTTAATTCATGAATTCAAAAATAGCGTTTTGTATATCACCTACTAATTTAGCACCCGTGGCGGCCGTGTCAGGTTTTATTATATTAAATGCAACTGCGTTTGAGTTGACATTTTGTTTTGTTGAATTGAGTTGTTGATATTGTAATTGTAATGTAAATACAAGTAGGTGCAACTTAGGTATACTAATTACTTTAGTACTTCAGTTTCTTCATTTCAATAAAAAATTTTGAAAATCAGTTTACCTATATTTTGTTCTAACTTGAATTATTTTCTTAATTTATTATCAATACATAGTATAAAACAAAGTCGCTTTCGCTGTATGTCCGTATGTATGCTTAGATCTTTAAAACTACGCAACGGATTTTAATGCGGTTTTTTTTAATAGATAGAGTGATTCTTAAGGAAGGTTTGTATGTAAATACATATTGCACCCGTGCGAAGCCGGGGCGGGTCGCTAGTAATAGATAAATAAGAATTGGAATCCATAGACTATTTCTATCTGCCTGAAAAACGGACGTAGATATTGGTGCATGCTAATAAAGGGAATGCACAAAATACTAGACTAGTCACGAAAAACCGAACCGAGCTCCATTTCCCATTTAGTTACTTGTGTCAGCTGCTGTACACACGGCTACACATCGAGCTTTGCATAACCAGTATAAACTGAACGTTAAATGTGCGGAAAGATGATACGACGCGACACCAGGATAAACTGGTTTTGTATAGATTGATGTATGGTCGTGTGTACGCGTTTCCAGATTGGAACAAAAGCTTAGCATATTCAGTGTGAAATAGCTTCGACAAGCCGAAATAAAACCTTCATTCATATCATACCAGAAGCCTTAGTATGAGTTTATAAACGAGCAAATTTATTAAACGAGACCGCGTTCGGCACACATTGGATTAGTTATCCTTGATTGGTTGGTTTATTGGAGTCGACCAATCACAGCCCCGAACGCGGTCTCGTTTATATTACTTTATACGTAACACAAACTCGTACTAATGCCGCAGAGTGTGTCTGTACGTCTGATACTCTAATTACACTTTCGGCATCCTCTATAGGTACTATTTATTATTTTTCCCCTTAAAAAAATACTATATTTTTAAAAAGCTCGTGTCAGCTCACTCGTTGCACTGTGGACTAAAGGCTGCCTCTACATAAGAGGGCCCTTCATTATCTCCCCCCTTGCCAAACGTGTTAGAAATCGCAGCTTAAAAGGTTTAGATTAGTCAGTGAGCGCTGTGCCTAACGATTACCTAAATACACTTTCAGGTCACGTCTTTAGACCTTATAGCTACTTATAACTAGGTTGATGCTATAGTACCTATCATCTATCTTAATTCAGAGACACTCGACGAAAGCTAATTCCAAGTTGCCAACTAATTAACTAAAATTGATTGGTTACGACGCAATTGAAATATTTATAGAAAATATAGGTAAATAAATAAAAATAAATAGGTCTAATTTTAAGTAATTAATTAAAACATTATTTAAGATAAATCTCATACTCTTTTTATTGCCTTGAAGAGCAAAGGTTTAATTTTGCGGTGAGTACGTGTCTTGTAAGCACCTACCTCAACACGCCTAGGTAATATTGTGATTAATTGAAAAAATCCAACATTTTAATTAGTCATTAATTATGTTAATATCGTTTGATATCTTAGATGGTGAGCACTACGATACTCCCTAATCTTTGGTAGGTGTCGATAATTACAATAAATTACCTAAGACAAATGCGTTGGACGTTGGAATATGATTATAAATAGGTACCTACCTTACATAATCAAGCAATCACGATTCATCAGAAATAATTCAAGACTTTTACCATATTCGCACATTTTATCACCTACATGTTTAGGTAGGTACTTATAAGAGCTTCGAAAATTCAATTGACTCAATTTACAACTCATACAAGGAAAAAGTATACCTTTGGTCCATAAATTGGTATTAGATACGGATCTCAATGTGAGGTGTACCAAACCTATGTCATCGCGAAGGACACACCGGGCGTCGGGGATCGCGGGACGATCTACGGCCACCGTAAGCGCGGGCCTGCGGACGGCGAGCATGGGTCCGACCAGAAACAGACCCTCGGGTCTGTTTCGTTCTGCGCGTCACGTTCCGCGCGCGCCTCAAAGAACCATCAGACCACCACAGATGGGGCCCAACAGAGCCGACGCCGATTTTGAGTCGCGGAGAACCTAACGGGTAACCGGGGCTCCGGCTCGACGTGCAGGAGAAGAAACCGGGTGGTTTTTAGTCTGTAAGAGTCTGACACTCCCTCCCGCCCATTTTCCCCCCTTAAAAAAAACCTAACCTATTTGAAACTGGTACAAGAAAATACCTGGGTACAACAGAGTAACTAATTCTGGAAAAAAGGTTTAAGCTTTAGGCTTCGCATCCGTAGTAGACCTACATAATTTATTTCGTGGGGTAAAAATTGGCAACCCTAGATAGTAACCACATTGTATACCTACTACATGATTCGGGAAGCTAACAAGCGAAGTTGTTGCCGGGTAAACTGACTGTATACTTAGGAACCTTCCACATCCTGTTTATTGTTGGAAGCTTCGATTTTCACTCAAATTTAATAGCAAACATCATGCTTATCCGGAGGTTTCGTTAGTAAGGACAGGTACCTACCTAAGGTATGGACTAGTTACTAGGACTAGGTACTCTTAGTGCTACCTGGTATCTATAATATTGCAATTTTAAAACTTACCGAGTACCTATACTATTTTAGAATCATTTCAGTACGACTTTCAATCACTCAGAAGTATACTTAAAAATGTGTCGCGGAGAACCTAACGGGTTACCGGGGCTCCGGCTCGACGTCCAGGAGAAGGAACGGGGTGGTTTTTAGTTAATAAGAGTCTGACACTCCCTCCCGCCTCACCCAGGCGGGAGCAATCAATCGATGATTTTCCCCTCTTAAAAAAAATACTTAAAAATGTACATTCTACGTCAACTCGTCAATATTTTTTTTTATTATTATTTCAGAGTGCGCTCCGAGACTTGAGAAGAATGTACAGAATTGTTAAAAAGGGGATATATAATTTCCAGGCTAATTCCTATCAACTTAATTATTGCCGAATTATTTTACAACATCCTTGATGTGTATCATCATGCTTATTGTGTGTGTTTGTGTTCCAGTTCCTCTTCATTGTGTGTTCATTGTTTATAAGAAATTAAGAATTTCGGGTACGAAACCTATCAACGGCAAGTAGGTACCTACCATTTGATATTTTCGAGTTATATGTATTTTCTAAGATTATTCAGACACCACTGACAAACGAGGAATACATCGTGAGGAAACCTGGGCTTATAATTTCTAATTATAAGTTTGCAATCACCAACCCGCATTGATTAAGCGTGGTGATTAATGCTCAAACCTTTTCCGTGTGAGAAGAGGCTTTGCTCAGAAGTGGGCATTATAGGCTGTTGATGTGTTGATGTGATTTACGAAATTCAAAATAGGTACCTAGTAGGTACGTATACGTCCTTACACTAAAACGATATCGTTTCGTTGAACATAAAGAACGTCCACCTTATTTTACATGTAACGTTTATTATCCCGAATAACAATGGTGACCCTTGGCTCCGTAGTGAAATTCGCCGCATTATCGCGATATCCATGTCATTGTTTACTTTAAATCGACTTTCCAACAATAGCCCAGCCATTTTGATCGTGAAAGTGGGTTCCTACATGAAATATGGAAAACATTGTTAGATAAGACCTTTTGGGTAATAATACGTTCGCAATAACGGCTGTTTTTCAGTTCAAAATTCTTTGTCTTGGATCGTTATGTGTAATATTAATTGCGTATATCTAGGTGTCGTAAAAGACGATGGCTGTGTGTGGGGAGGGAATTTACATATAATCTGCATTTTGAAAGTTTCGAGTTTTACAGAGCGTGTTTGCTGTTGTTTTTGTTTTTAATACTAACGTTTTTTGCTAAATTAAAACCTCTATTACATGTCTTATTTGACTAAGTGTACCAGTAGGTATTGCTTTTTGAATGCTAGATTAAATAACTAGATAATATTCGTGCGTCAATACCGGTAGTTTAAAAACGTGTTGAAGAATCATGTGATGATACCATTTATCTTAAAAGATAGTAAATTATCTTCAAAAAAATAAGGATGATCAATGATATTTTGCCATTTACTGTCAGTCATAAACTCTGACGGGGGTATATAAAAAGATAAATACATTGGCATTCATTTTATTCTTGCTTTCTTATCACAATATTATAATAAATAGACATACACACTTGTTCTTATAATTTGTATATTATACATACATTACAATGCAATTATTATCATTAGACATTAGAAAGCCGCATTCAGTATCTTTGATGAAACATTCTCTTCATAAAAACCTATTTCATTAAGACAACCATAGTCGTGAAACCAGGTTGCACGACCAACTTAATGTACAGTTTTATGCAGGGTCTTTAAAACCGGGTGGCAACTTAGTTGCGCAACTGTTGCCGGCGGGTTAATCAACCTAGGTGCACCAGGTTATTCGACCATGCGCTATCCTAATCAAATAGGATCCTTAAAATCTCTCCAATTTCACAATAAATATGTACCATTAAGATATACATCTTTACATTGATATTCATTCATTTCATGGATCATTAACATTAAAACCGGCAATTGGGTCCGTATAAGTATGTAATGGGACATGATTTCATATTGCGTCATTGAATCAACTTAGTTGTTATTAAATATGCAAACATCAACTGTACCACTATGGAATAAGGTGTATAATATCAACTCAATTATTTCTATTGACGTCACTTGTTAGTTTTTTAAATAAGATTTTAAAATCCGCAATGAAATCAAGCGCATTTGACAGCCCACGTTAGGGCGTTAATAATTTCAAAATTAAGAATAAAACACGGAAGATATACCAAAATTAACTACATATCGCAATTAACTGTTTTACTAAAGTTTTAGATAAACCAGTCAAAAGTGTAGCAAATGAAACTAAAACTTTATATTTTATTCATTTCATTATTTCTAATGAAGCTTTTTAGTTAATAGGTCCAGCCTATTGATTGACTCCATATAATATTTCATTGAACTAGATACACTTATATCTGAAATCGTAACCTGTATTTTGGTCATAGAGCTCTGTAACTCTCTCGTCAACTATCCTAACTATCCTTTTTTAAAGAGTAACAATTTGATTAATATGGAGTTTTTTTTTTTAAAGAAAAACATTACTAAATCTTTGGACATAAACGTTTGACTTACTGCCAATCCTAATATTGATTATTAAATTCCTCTTCGTATTTTGGCTGAATTTAATAAGTGTTTTATTGAATGTAATGTCAAACGCTCGAATACTGAAGGGTTACTCAGTTTTAAGTTGTACAATATAGTGTCATCTCTATCATTCTCCAAAGAATTTGTAGTGACAGAAATAGACTTATACACGACTTAAAATGGAGTATTGGTTCAGAATGCGGGCGTTAATCAATTTTTCCATTATCGAATACATAAACAAAACAACACAAACAAATTTGAAAAAAGAACAACAAAAAAAGAAAACACAATCACAGATGTCCTAGTTCATCATGTATCATTAATATATATGATATGACTAACAGTTCATAGTACATGCAATCATTCTTCAATCATATAACAATGGACATTTACTTAATTATTGGTAAACCTGCACACCAACAGGTCAATTCGTCAAAAGCCCATTCATGTTTTCAGACTAATAAAATAGTTTTTATTCCTTAGACAGGAAGACACAGATTGCAAACAAAAACTGTTGTGATTGAGAATTTGAACCCTAATTCATTAGTCATTGCAATCTAAATTACAGTAACAGTAAATTACAGTTTTATTGTGGATATAATTATGACTGGTGTCAACTTGGTTGCATAACCAAAAAAAATTATAAATATAGTTGTACCTATATAGGATATGTAGTGCAACCAAAAAGTCGTTGGCGACTAAATGAACATAAAGCCAAGGACAGGTATTAGGGGGACAAATATCCCGCGACACTTGTCGCCAGCGACGTCGGGTGAAGTAGCGCGACGTCGGGTGAAGTAGCGCGACGTTGCCGGCTTCGTTTGACATGTCACCGATACATGTCTTGGGACATTGTCCCGTAGTGTATCCTTGGCTTAAGTTGTAAGACGTCGCCAACGGTTGGGCAACTGGTCGTACCACCATGTTGTCAAAATTAAACAGGGCTCTGAATCTGGAAAGTAGACCCCAAAGTGAAAAATCTTTCAATCAATTTTCGACTTAACACGTTAACCGCCACGTAGGTCACCGGTGACCTAAGTTAGCGGAGGATTTGCCCTCAACAGTTTTCTGTCGGCAGTTAAAGGCTTAATTTTGTTACAATTAGTTTGAAAATGTATTAAAAACCAAAGGACAGATTGTTCTTGCAATACGTTTACCCGTATTATTGGACAATGGAGTTTGTATCGTAACTTATCAACATAAAGTTCAATATCGCGTATACTGTTTTGTTTTCCAAATCCCTATTGAGCAAGCTCTAGTCATAGGACTGCCTGTATACTGGACGGCAGTATTATTGTCCCGAATAGATTAAAAGTGCTTTCAAATATAGAAAAAATGAATACTATTTAGAGAAGATATATTATGATTCGCCTACACTGAATTGAAAATAAACTTGCTGGAGTCCCGACAGGAATAACGGCAAAAATCAGTCGTTAAGTAGTTTTTGATTTTCAACTTTATTATTTGGTTATAAATTATGTTAGCAAATAGATACCACTGTCAACGCTGCTAGAATTGCGATGAAATTATAGACAATTAGGTGGCTATTACAATAAATTATAATTTCAAGCGTCTAGTATTAAATTCCTAGCTAAAAATATTAGTACCTTCATAATTAACACATACAGAGATCAATTCACAATTTCATCTCAGATAAACCGTTTATTTGAATTTGGAATGTGTTATTTTATTACGTATGGCAACACCTATACCAATGTTGCTATCAAAAAAATAATTAATGATGCTTCCACTATAAAATATCTAAGTGACTGATAAATTATTTATTTTATTGTTTATCGTATTCATTTTGATAGGCAATATAGTTTTATTAACGTCAAGAATTTTGTACTGCTATGAACCTAAATGTACTAAATTAATATTCGATTGATATTTTGAAATTAATATGTATTTTGTGACATTGTGCATGATACATTCAGTTTCGCTGATGACATTAAAATATGAAATAGATGAACAGTAAACTTACTATACATTGATGCGACTCACATCGACCACCAAAGCGAATCTACTTGGGCAGAGACAAGTGGCAATCTACATAGAAGAAATAAAAAACGAGAAGAAACCACCTTTAAGTACTAACACAATAAGATACATTTTTGAACTGGAAGTACAGAAGGCACAGAAGCCAACCTACTCTGTCGCTAAATTAACTAAAATCGCGGGTTACTCACGTGAATATACTGAGAAAAGCTCTACTAATTTCGAACCACAGAGGGGTTCTTCCTCATGAGCAGCGTGCGCGGTCGCGGCGACGTCGCGTAGCTCACTGAATGCATAGCTCACTGAATGCACAGCTCACGGTTCGAAACTAGTAGAGCTTTACTCAGAATATTCACGTGAGTAACCCGCGATTTTAGTTAATTTAGTATGTCTCACGATAGTAATTATAAAAATACTCTGTCACTGTTTGTTTATTCGATTTTAAGCTTTACCATTTTGACGATATAGCCGAAAATCCAATGAAAACAAAAGACAGATTAGAGTAGCTTGACTTTATGTGAATAAAATAATTAAGACTAATTTTTGAACTGGTAACACATAAATCCCTACTCTGGAATTAAATCTTTATAGGTAAGGTATATATCAATTTATTTTTAATGTTGGCAAGTATTTAAAATTGTCATTCTATGTTCATTGAACATGCCAGTTGCCTCAGCCCTATGGTTACGTCAATACATATGGAGTTTCCTTCGATCACAATTTAATACTATACAGTGACAAGAGAGTCATGATATTCATAAATATTCATAAATGCCCTGTTTAGACTCACATACTGAAAATATAATTAAATTTGAAAAGTCCTTTCTATTTTCTTTAAATAAAATTTCATATCATCAAACAATTATAAGTCATGTAAATTAGTTATAAAATTTAAATTAATTAAATTCCTATTTGATAAAGATATTTGTGCCCAAGAGTTAAGCTTCATATTGTTACATTCACGATGGGGGCTGCCATTTTTCTGCTTATACCAGAAAGCGCAAATGTAGAGAGAGGATTTTGTCCAGCAGCTGTCAAATGGTGTGACACTATCACGTGACGACATCTAGTGAGAAAAAATACGGTAGGCCCATTCCAAAACATGAAACAATGATGTAACAAAGAGATCCGATTAATTTAGTAAGACTATATTTAGTCTTTTATTAAAAATAGTATGTGAATCTCACCAAGACATCATAGATAAAGGTTCAGTATTTAAAAATATAGTTCATCCACACTAGACAGTCTCAGGTATAAGTCTTAAGCAGTATTCACATAGCACTCTGCCCAAACATCAAGGTCCGTATACACTGCCGGTCGATCGTCATCTGTTAGAGTAGGGATTGTTCCACCATTATCTTTTCGAATCCTGTCGGCGGTGGGTAGAGGAAGTTTTCGAAAATCACGTCCAAAATTGCGCCGTCGTCCACTGTAAGTACATTTTATAATAATTTGAAATGCGCAAAATAACAACCTTGAAGTTAGGAAATAATGACATAAAGTAGCCAGTAATTGAAGTATAGTGAATAGAATTCAAAGCAAATAGACTACGTTCATCTATACATATATTACTTATAATACGCGACCTTACATCGTATCGTATTTTACGATCAACAATAATTACGTTTCAACCTGAATTAACAAAATCAATAAGCTCACCCCGCACGCGAGCAAAACCTTTGCATTGCATCCAAAATAAAATTAAAAACTCACCATAGAGCGCAGGATATACTGTTCCTCTAATATTACTGACGGGAATCTCCATATTCTTTCCATTCAGGAAGAAATTCAGGTCTACATGGTCATAGGCCACACCGATAGTGTCGCCCTCTACTGGCATAACCGCCGCAGTGCTTGTCCCTTTCTCGCTCTCTGGTTTATCATTTTCATGGGTCGGTGATTCCGTTGACACAAGTAAGTCGGCTGTGGGCGACTCTCTCGGCGCCTGCGCAAGGTGGTAGAGTTCGATATTCGAGTGACGCACCGTTCCGTCGCTGTTGAGACACCATGATTCTTTGTCCATACCACCTGCAATGTCATTGGGAATAATGAGAATTTTTGTTATTTTTATTTATTTTATGTTTATTTACACGTCTTGCAATTGAATACAATGGCGGACTTTATTTTGTTTCACTGTTATTAATTTGGGTTAAAACATTTTATGTGTCTTTATGTACAGTAGTAGTAACCCTTCATAAACAATCTTTGAACTGTATTTTCAAATTGCACCAGTAACTAGTACATACATTTGTAATATTTCCTTAGTCTAATTGTCAACTGCTTAAACAGCACCTTATTATAAGTACGTCATAGTTATGTAAACAGTTACCTCAATGACCCAAATATTAATTTTGGCAACAGACTAACAGTCTGCATAGCAATAAATTGAAGGCCATATTGCACCTCATTGTAAAAACCATTAACCAAACGTAGACACAGGAAGTGTGCACGGAATACCAAGTTATTTTACAATGAGTCTCTTATGAGGCATCTTAGACAACAAAAAGTTTAACTAAACTTATTACTTTGTGTAAAGTACTTTAACAAATACCTTTTTACATAATATTCTTGTAAATTATTCAACGGAGTAGAAATCTCTAAGTTTCTGTCCAACCTAAATTCATGTAAACAATAGATACCTAATGTTTGTTTGGAAATATGCTTCTTACTTTCTTTATTATTTGTAAAGGCGTGAAAATGAGTGTCAAAATTACACAATAATGTGCCGAGTATATTTAGTTTTGTTAATCACTCAGTGTAAAGTGTTTGTCAATGTGTGACACATTAATTACGAAGAAAACATTTGCAAACATTTGTACTGGACATACTTTTCCTGTGCATATCTTACTAACCTTCTTTCAATGCTAACTTTAAAACTACCTCAATTTACAATAACATGGCATGTTCATTCTCTAGCAAGATACAAAACAATGTTTTTTTCCATTTTCTTTTGTGGCTAATCATAACATAGAACAATGAGCAATACCTTTGTTTTAAGCTAAATACACTACATTCATCACAGGAAGTAACAAAAACACAAAATACTGGCCTTGTTATCCTAATTACACCGAAATGATACAATAGAGGTAGGGATACAAATAATATACAAATAGCTTCTTTTTAAGAATAATCATTGATGTCTTCTTAGTCTGAATAAGATATGTATTCTTATATGAAAATTCATGCTGGTAAAAATAAAGTACAACTTGATATTTATGTTTTAAAAAAAATAATTACCATGTACTCTATTGAGATCTGTTTCCCTGGTAGCTACTCCGACAGCCCACACTCCGCCCTGCTGCAGCTTCACCTCAAAATAAGACTTGTTCTGCACCAGTGGTGCATTCCCAAGCGCACAGCCAGAACCACACACTCTCTGCCCACCTTTTATTATCACCATCTCATGGCCTAGAATAAGAATATGAATTGATTTTTATATTTATTTTAATTTACCAGTTAACAAATAAAGTTAACAATTAATTTACCATATAATTTTTATTGTATAATAGTAATATTACATTTGAATTTAATTAATTTTATTATTTCATAACATTTTTGTGTTTATCAAGTTAGTAGAATCAGATAAATAAAGGTCAATGAAAGCTTATCAATAAGGTTTTATTTCGTTTATTTAATATATTAACTATTAAATTCAAATTGAAGTATCAAATAGCCTAGTAGTGTTCCTTGCCTTTTCAAAGACAATGCCTAATTAACAGGTTTCCCTCATTCATCTTTCATTCTATATTTTGGATGTATTAAGCATGTAGTTTCAGAGATTGTTCAGTAAAACAAGCGCTCTAGTATCCTTCAGAGGCCACCGAACATCCCACGCAATAGCAAAATCGATGCGCGCACTTAACATCCAAGGCTACATCGGTACACGCAGTTTCAACTTAACTAATTTCACTAAGTAACCAAGTACTTCATTGTTTATAGAAGTAAACACTGTTTGTGTTCATTTGTTCAACAGGATGTAATTAAAATGAACTAAGTATACAAACCCATGTGTAACGTATCCAACTGTACAGGATTTTCCTTTATCCGAATAGGTACACTAGGTGTTAGCGTAAAGCCATTCATACAACTTTTCAGACAACAAAACATGTTGAACTTATTCACTAAAAACCTTTTTCAATAATCAATACACGATTTTATTAGATTAAAATTAGTTTTTGTTGTACTACAATTCACGTCATTTTCTTTTGACACCTTGACGTATCTGACAGTGCCATGTCGGAGTGACATTGACAACTAGAGGAGCAACATTATGACTCCTTTCCACGAGCAACATATTTTACGGTTTTCTAAAAATACGGTTATTTCCAAATTTAGATACACGTTTAGATCATTTTGTTTAGATAAGAGATTCACAAAAAGCTCTTCATAAAATAATATAGTGTGACTAGTTATAATTTGACTTCTATTACGACCCCATCCATCCACTCTATACGATATCCAAACAAATATTTTAAGACCTCTTGTGTAACTACTTCGTCAGTTGTCGTCACTCGAGTGATCACAAGCGCGTTTGCTAAACAACAAGTCTCATGTTTGATTCTTATTTCAGGCAAAGTATTATGTAGGGTTTGTGTTTTTTACCCGACTGCCAAAGAAGAAGAAGGAGGGTAATTTATAAAATTCTTAGCAATAGCTCAGCGGCTGGATTTTGGCCTGGTACTTGGGATATGCTCATCTCCCATTACATGAGACTCATAACAACATAGTTATTTGTCTTTCGGCTAGTAAAGTGAGAGATTTGGACCCGGTGTTGAATTACACCATCATTTTCGGGGATCCCTTGTCCTAAGAAACGATGGCCCAATTAAATAGTGTCCTACAAAGGCTGCACTTCAACTGACACCAAAGATTACTATAGTGTACTGGCTAACTGCCACGCACCTGTGGTGCTTACGTCTGGCATCGCCGGTGTACTTACTTAGACTGCAGACTATAATGATCGCTTACCTAGTAAATATATTAAGTATGAGTCAATTCATCACGGCTTGTCATAGAAACTAGGCCAAAAAACAATCGGAGGTGAGCAGGTAGGTATTTCTCTTCGAATTAGATGTTAATATTGATTTTGGTTAATTGTACAAACATCTATTATTTGCATTGTAATCAAACGCTAATATTTAGCGTTATAATTATAATATTGTGCAAGATCAATTTACCTTGAAATTGAGATCGTATTTTTAAATAAATAATGATCGCAATACCTTTTTACCTACTAATATTAATGCGGATACCATCGACTATTTGATAACCTGTTTGCTTTACCTACGTGAATTGTAAAAGATTTATATTAAAATCTAAGCATTTGGTAGATACGATATTTTAAGCGCCTCATTGGCCAAGTGGTTACGAGTGTGAAATTGCCGGTTACGGGGTCTCGATTAACTACTTGTGTGATAAAAAATAACATAAGTCTTATAAATAGAATGCCCCATTTTTATTTATTATGTATGTAAATGAATGTAAAAATAATACGTTATCCTTACTTACACATTGTAGTAATGTAGGTAGATAGATACCTAAGTTGCTGGTACCGGATACAATAACTAAACACTCAAAGATGACAAAGAATTTTTGAAAGTTAGTCCTTGCGTCATATTGGTGGAGGGCTTTGCACCTGATTGAAGAAAGCTGGTTATCATGGGATGATGTCATTTCGTGACCAAGCTTACTCAAATCTCCCTGCCCTCTATCTTAAACTTAAATGGAAAGCAATTGCCTAATATTATGTACCTTCCGAAGCCCCGCTTCCGAAGCTTCCGTAGTTTCGTTATTGTTGACATTGTGTTGAGTCAGATTTTGATGGAAAAGTCAAATCGGAAATCCAGGCGACATTTTTTCCAACTCAGAGATCGAGAGGACTTTGGCTTACACCCTTCCGAGGAAAGATGCAAGCCCTTATGAGTTAAAAATATTTATGGGTATTGTTCTCAACCATACCAGATAGGTACCCAACTAATTAAACGGTTTTATTTTTTAGAACAGAATGGTTCAATAGATTACTATTCTGAAAGGTCCTGTTAGTCCTATGATGTCTGCCTTATCCTTATGCCTTCTGCCTAAAACCAGACTAAGACTATGAACCTGTCCTTTTGTTTGTATTGAGCGCACGGCCAGAGCCATAACTAAGTGAACCTTGGCAGTAGGCCAGAAAGGTGTTAGAAAATGATTTCATTTGTTATATAACGCGAAGGCAGATCATTTGCAAGAACTTTAGTCACCTGCTTAATGACTAAAACTGCTTACAGAAAACTGTTGAAGGCATATCCTGAAGGTAATTAGCGACCTGCTTTAGCCTCTTTAGGAACTATGAACTTAAATTATGTTGACAAGCAAGCTAATAATGTGTGCAAAAAAATATGTAGGTAAGTATGTATTGTTGGGGCAAGAAGAATTTCTATCCTTAAGGTGGATAGAATTGATATCCTGATAAAGCTCCAATAATATGAAGCTTCTTTGACCTTCCCAAGAATCAAACCCGAGACTTTATGCGGCAACTTTCAGAGCACTCGACAAGATCCAATATGATTACCAAATTACTTCGGTCTACTATAATAGGACGAAGCCGCGGAAGACTTCGCCGGTTGCCAGGGCTTCGGCTCGAAGTAGGAGTAGGCACGCGGAAGACGCCTCACACAAGGCGGGAGTAGTCATTGGATGATTTTTCCCCTCAAAAAAGGCTGTCGGAAACAGGTAGTGAGGTAGGTAGGGAGGTTCCTATTTTAAGCGACATTTCCTAACTCAGCTAAAACAGATTTAAGTCATAAAACCTCTTTGCATATATCTAGTTTAGTTACGCTTTCAAGAAACGGAGACATTATTTGGGTTGGTGTTTGTACGGTTGTGTAATATTTGCACACTTTTCCATCATTAGGCAAAGTTCGTTAGGACAATTTGTTTAGCCTCATATACCTTTTTTTAAAGCAAATATTACCGTACCTTTCGTACTTCATGACTATCGAGAGATAAAAGGAAGTCAAAAAGGAATTCCTCATTTGTTGCTCCGATTTTTTGAACTAATTAGATGATAAGAAAATTCCTGCAAAATTTTTGTTGATAAGCCGTTTTTTTACCTGGCTGTGAGAAGAGTATTTATTGTTACATTAGTGTCCAGCTAGGCTATTCTGAAGAAGTCCATTCTGTTTAACGTCATACCTTTTATTCATCAATGGGTTAGATAGAGACGAACGCGTTAAATGTGACACCCACTTTTATCCAGGCTTGCAACGTTAGAGACTCAAGCAAAAGGCTCACCGATTTTCGTACAACCGTATACTACTTTAAAATTTTCAAAACAATTTATTAAGGTACACTTTATCTGATCCAGGTATAGAATTAATAGAATTGAATGCATGTTCGGCAGTCACGATCACAACCACTCCACCAACTGAGGCGGAATAGAAGTTAATAAATATGATTTAAATCAGTTAAAAACTTAAGTTTTTGGTAAGAAAAATAATAATATTAGAGAAGGTAGATATATATCTACTGCATGTTATCTAAATGGTAAATTAGTTATGGAAATGAATTTAACAGAAAAATACACAGGCTAGACTTTTATTTCTATAATAGTATTCCAATTTATTTTAGGATATCACATAATTGTCGGTCATCCAACCTAACTGTATACATACGTATAAAAACATATATATCTCTTAGATATAATAAAACCAAAGCAAAGTCAGATGTCAAAGGAAATAAAAAAAAACACGTCGACTTTATGATGAGTTTAACATTATGCGAGAATTTCTCAATATGCTCAACGAGACATGCCATCGGAAAGAACTAGTTGTGATGATTATAATGAATACAATATACAATATTTTTGTTCGATACCTATTTCTAAACGGAGACCGGTTGTGTGAAGATCCTGTTAAAATTATAAACCAACTTTAGTTAACTGTTGATAACCACACACATGCGTAGGTGGGCACGCAACATGGATAGAACTAACCTATTCAAACGAATATCTACAAAATTATATTCTATTCCGTTAATGCGTGACACAGACAACGCACAGCCCACAACCGAAACTACTGGACCTATAAAGGTGAAATTTGCATGTGGGTACTTAATTGGGTATGTTCCTTGGGGAATGCAAGGGACCACTAAGACAGGATAAAAGGTAATATCTACCCGTATTTACATGTGCATATCGTTCCAGCAGATAGGGTACTCAACTAAGGTAATTAACCTGTAGGTACCTACTACTAAAATATCTATCATTTGTACAGAGGTAAATTTCCGAGATCCAAGTCACATGAGCTGTAGGTACAATTTTAATTCCATATTTGAAATACATACATTTGCTGTTACTACGGAAGTTGTGTGGATATTGGTGTAAGTATTTGTACCGCTTTATTGTAATAGGCTTAACTAGGCATATTGTATTAGCATTTTAAGTCTATTATATTTTTATGTTAGTTTTCTGCTATCTCCAATCCGCCGGGCCAAGCTTGAAGATTATTACAAACGCGCTTATGCCGAGGAAGCTCATAGTCTAGCGATGGACCGTCACAGGTTGATTATGACTTAAGTGTAAGAGAGCCAAGCTTCGGCACGAATGGGCCGCCTCGATGGGGTGATACCACGGCCTCACAGAAAACTGACGTGAAGCAACGCTTGCGTTGTGTTTCGTCGTGTGAGTGACGTTACCGAAGGCCAAATTATTGGTCCCCAATCTCCCTAATCCCTGAATCCCCAACAATCCTCAAATTCCAAATCCCCAAAAGGCCGGTAACACACTTGTAACGCCCCTGGTGTTTCGGGTGTCCATGGGCGACGCCGATTGTTTACCATCTGGTGATCCGTCTGCGCGTTTACTGTTTATGTCCCATAAAAAAAATATGATGATGATGATGAATCCACTTAACACTTTCACTCAATTAGGTATTCGAAAGCCTTCTGAATCATTTTTCATACTAAAGAGAGCTAAGTTTCGGCTCGATCAGTGACACAGCCTTACAGAAATCAGAAAAAAAAATATTCGGTTAAAACAATATAGCTGCCAGGTCACAACTTTACAACTAGTCATAAGCCAGCATTGTGCCACCATGCTCATCATTACCAGTGGGTCGCAGGCACTACTAATTGTTTACGTTTCCCATGCCAAACATTTTAGTCTAATGTTTATGAACGTACTTCGGCAATCGGCACTGCGGTCTCTTCGTACCCTTCATGTTAGTACAGGATGTATAAAAATT